TAAAAGCAGCTGTTACGCATTTTGGCAGGGATCCTGATTCCTTGATTGTGCCTTATACTGCTGCACAAGTTCAGACCTTGGCAGCCACATCTAGTGATTGGGCAGTTTTAGTTACTTCCTTTTCAGGACAAATTGATAATCATTTTCCAAAGCATCCAATTTTACAGTTTGCCCTAAACCAGGCTATAGTGTTTCCACAAGTGACAGCTAAAGACCCACTCCCAGATGGGACTGTGGTGTACACTGATGGATCGAAAACTGGTATGGGAGCTTATGTGGTCAAGGATAGGGTTATATCTAAACAATATAATGAAACTTCACCTCAAGTTGTAGAATGTCTGATAGTACTGGAGGTTCTTGAGGCTTTTCCAGGACCCCTCAATATTGTATCAGATTCCTCTTATGTGGTTAATGCAGTTAATCTCCTTGAGATAGCTGGAATAATAAGATCCTCCAGCAGAGTTGCTAACATCTTTCAGAAGATACAAGCTGCCTTGTTAAATAGGAGATTTCCTGTTTTCATTACCCATGTCCGAGCACATTCTGGACTCCCAGGTCCCATGTCCTTAGGGAATGACTTAGCGGACAAGGCTACAAAGCTGGTGGCCGCTGCCTTGTCTACCCACGCACAAGCAGCAAAAGAGTTCCATCAGCGCTTTCATGTGACGGCTGAGACCTTGCGCCGTCGTTTTGCTCTATCCAGGAAAGAGGCTAGGGAAATTGTTACTCAATGCCAGAATTGCTGCGAATTCTTACCTGCTCCCCACGTGGGAATAAACCCACGTGGCATTAGACCATTGCAGATGTGGCAGATGGATGTTACTCATATTCCCTCTTTTAGAAGGCTTCAATATGTTCATGTTTCTGTTGACACCTGTTCTGGCGTAATGTTTGCCACGCCCCTAACAGGGGAAAAGGCCTCATATGTGATTCAACATTGCCTTGAGGCCTGGAGTGCTTGGGGAAAACCCAGAATTTTAAAAACAGACAATGGACCAGCATATACCTCTCAAAAATTCCGACAGTTTTGTCGGCAAATGGATGTTACCCATCTAACTGGCCTACCTTATAACCCTCAAGGACAGGGCATTGTGGAACGTGCCCATCGTACACTCAAATCATATCTGATTAAACAAAAGGGGAGTATTGAGGATGTTCTACCCTCGGTACCAAGAGTTGCTGTGTCCATGGCACTTTTTACCCTTAATTTCTTGAACTCTGATGCCCAAGGCCACACTGCGGCCGATCGCCACAGTTTAGAGCCTGATAGGCCAAAAGAAATGGTAAAATGGAAAGATGTCTTGACTGATCTCTGGAAAGGCCCGGATCCTATTCTTATAAGATCCAGGGGAGCTGTGTGTGTTTTTCCACAGGAGGAAGAAAACCCCCTGTGGATCCCTGAAAGACTCACTCGAAGAGCTCCTTCACAACTCCAGAATAAGAAGGATGGAGGCCAAGTGGGTGATGAAGACTCTCCTACTCGGGATGATGGTTCCTAGTATGATGGGAGAGTTACGGTGGGCCATCATGTCTACCTTCCCCCTACCGATGCCAGTGATGCATAATGCCCAGGTGTTCCCTAGATTTTTCACAACTAATAGAGAGTTGGGGCTTGCCTTTTTGCCTTTAGATCCTCAGATACAGAGTTTTCAGGATGAGAGAACCTTGTCATTGGTAGGAAGCTTGTGCTTTACTGTGATTTCTTCATTAAAGGATAATTTTATTCATATGGATCCAGAAAGATCTAATGCTAATCCTTTTGAATTAATGGAAGCTGTACTGATCTTTCTCCTATGGCAATGATTGCTGGAGGATATAGTGAGAAGGGACAGATTACTTTTGATTGGAAAGGGGCATTAGGCAACAGTCTGAGTGAGGGACAGAGCTCTGGATCATCTGATTGGTCCTCCTCCAATGTTAAGTATACCCCTTTTAAGAGAACTAATTATTCAGCTGCTCCAATTTGTGTTTGGCTGCCCTTTATTTGGGTTGTGAGTAATGATACCTTAGGTAAGAATCAGAAAGAAATAAATTGCTCTGCTTAGAATTGTTTTTATGCATTATGCTGGGATGCTATTAAGCACCCTTTTGCTTTGGTAATGCGCATGCCTCGATTTGTTCCAGTTCCTGTTGAGGTGCCAAGTAGTTTGAGTTTGTTTAGGGAAAAGCGAGATTTTTGGGATCTCTGCTATTATTGTGGGCCTGATAGCCGCCGCCGCGGTTACTGCTTCGGTTACCGCCTCGGCCCTTGCACTTTCCGCCACTGTGCAGACAACTCAAACCATTAATGAACTATCGGCCACTGTGACCATGGCCCTAGATAAACAGGCCACTGCCAATTCTCAGATACAAGGAGGCCTGATGTTGGTAAACCAACAGATTAATTTGGTTCAGGAACAATTGGATATATTGTGGCAGATGGCCCAATTGGGATGTGAACAAAAGTTGCCTGGCCTTTGTGTTCACTTCAGTACAATATGAGAATTTTACAAGAGCAGCTAACCTGTCAAAAGCTCTGTCTCAACATTTATTACAGAATTGGACTTTTGAGTTTGAGCAGACACTCCGTGAGTTGAGAGTGGCGATCCTGCAAGTGAATTCGACGCGTCTGGATCTTTCTCTGATGGAAGGCCTCTCCTCCTGGATTTCATCTGCATTTTCTTATTTTAAGGAATGGGTGGGGGTGGGATCATTTAGCCTAGTTCTCTGCTGTGGAATAGTGTTGATGCTTTGGATGGTGTGTAAGCTCAGAGCCCAAACAAAAGAGACAAAGTGATGGTGGCACAAGCACTTGCTGCCTTAGAACACGGAGCCTCCCCTGACATTTGGTTAACCATGTTAAAGCAATAGGTCGCTGGCCTCCCGGCTCTTGCACCCCACGAGGCTAGTCTCATTGCACGGGATAGAGTGGGTAGGCTTCAGCAGCCCAAGGAGTTGCAAGGCTAAGCACTGCACAGGAGAGGTCTGCGGTATAACGACTTTCTCCTGGGAGATAAGTCATCTTGCATGAAGGTTCTATGTCATGATCTCCTTCCCCCAGAAAAACGACATCGGGACTGGTCAGGGCTCCCTCTGGGGATAAGACCCTGGAGAGGAGCTTTGTACATGTTCCAAATTTGCACATGGGGATTTGACCTCTATCTCCACTCCAAAGTTGTGGGTGTCCTATGGCTTCAAAAATAAATGAATAGGGGGGAAATGTGAGGAGCCGCTATCGCTGTCGCCATTAGAAGATGGCGCTGACATCTGCTGTCAGTTGGAGTTTACCGTTTAAGCTGCGCCTCACCCGTCATCTGGGGTGATGAGCAAACCACCAATCCCGGCTCTACACGTCTCACTGGGAGCTCCTAGGCTTATATAAGGGGCTGGGTTTCTTAGCTTGGGGTCTCCCTCTCAGAAGCTGATCATCTATCTCTCAAGATGTATTAAAGCTTTACTGCAGAAGGATCCGAGTGTCCTGCGTCGTTCTTGCTGGCGAGACGGTAGCGCGGGACATAGATCAACAAACACCACGGTGGAATTTCCTACCAAAGTACAAGGAACTCTTCCCAGGCTGGGCACCAAGAGGAAAGGACACTTGCTGGGGTGTGAACACATCACAGGCACTTGATCCAGATTCAGTCACCTCCTAGATATAACCAACAGCTATTCCTGGCTTGTCACTGACCTTCTGGGTGACTTGAGGCTTACCTCTCTTTCCTGAGCCTCAGTCTCCCTGTGTGTTCAAGGATCCCTTCTTTTAAATCTGGTTTAGAGACTACTGTGTGCCCAAAATAGAGGTCAGGGCTCCCGGGAGACCATGAGGAACGAAACAGTCTGATTGAAAGTGGAGATTCCATGTTCCTTATTTTTGTTGGGGGGGGGCATTAATCCTTTTTTAATGTTGTGTGTGTCTGTATGTTCAAGTGTGGAATGAACATGCATGTGTGTGCACAGATGGACTTCAGGTGTCTCCCTTATCTTTTCCCACTTTGTTTTATTCTTTCACAATATCATACGTATATATGATGTACTTTGGCCCTGCCCCCCTGTCCCCCTTACTTCTTCTCCCACCTAGCCCATTCTCCTTTCTTCCCAACAAGCCCTCCTTCTGCTTTTATCCACCACCACCCACCCACCCACACACACCCCCACACACACACACTGCATTCCATTAGGGCTGCATGGGTAGTAGGTTATTTACCTGAGCACGGTAACTTCCCAGTGCCTACACCACTCCTCCACCAGTGACCACTAGCTGCCTGTCACCTTAGCTTTTGAAACAGAGCCTCTTATTGATCCTGGAGCTCACCAATTTGACTAGAGGGGTTGGCCAGCAAGCACCAGGGGAACTTCCTGTTTTTGCTTCCTTAGGCCTCAGATTACCAGGAGGTAGAGCCAGCCAGCTTTATTTTATTTAAATACTAATTTTATTTTAAGGTGTGTGTGTGTGTGTGTGTGTGTGTGTGTGTGTGTGTGTGTGTGTGTGTGTGTGCACGATACAGGTGGCTGCAGGTGCTGGAGTTACAAGCAGTTGTGAACCGCCCGATGTGGGTGCCCGCTCAGGACTGAACTCCTGTGAAGCCTCTTTTTTTTTTTTTCCAGCGCCCCCTCCCCCAAGATGGCTTTTAGACTGGATACTGGGAATTTCAACTCAGGGTCCTCATGCTTGCTAGGCAGCACTTACCCACTGAGTCATCTTGTTTTCTGTAGCTCAGCCTAGCTGGAACTCGGTATGTTTTCCCCAGAGACGGCATTGAACTCACAGCAATCCCCTTGCCTCCCCCTCTTGTGAGCCAGGATTATATGTGAGTCGTTCCTGGGTTGAAATAATAGTCTCCATAGTCAGATGAGTTATCCATGAATCCACTGACCGGTGCCAGGTTTTGTTGACTCCCCATGGGAGGCCTTACCCTTTCTGAGGAGTGGATGGGGGGAGGCTGCGAGAAGGTGGGGGGGAGGGGGAACTGTGGTTGGTATGTAAAATGAATAAAAAATAAAATTAAACAACAACAACAACAACAAAGAAAGAATGGTCTCTAATCGCGTGCAGGAGGAATTTCTGTCATCTGCCAACCTTCAGTCCTCTGGTCCTTGGGACCCACAGCGGGTCTACACACCCCACTCTATCAGCTCGCCTCATCCGACTCCCAGCGGCGGGTCTCGGTCTGCGCGGGGTCCCTTCTCCTCTTCTGCCTTCTCGGGAGTCCTACCTGGAAGAGGTGATTGCCGGGGTGCCAGACCTGAAGTCCCCACCAGTGGCTGGTCGAGAGGGCGGCACGTGGACTCCGCGGGGCGGTGCCAGACGCAGGGCGGGCGGGGGTCACCTGCTGGGCGGGACGGGACAGGACCAGGAGGGGACAGCGGCAGCCGCCACCGAGCACGGGGAGCGGGGCCCGCAAGAGGGAGAGCAGGCGTGCCAAGCAGGTAGGGGTGCAGGGCTCGGAACACGGGGGTGCGGGAGGACAGCGTGCAGGGGCTCACGTTCGCAGAGAAGGATCGTTCTCGGAGCTTCCCAAGGGGTCCCCAGCCTAGAGCGCCTTGGTGGGAGCGAGTAGCTAAAAGATCATCAGCATCTCCCGGGTGTCTGCAGATCCTAGTGTATGGAGGTGTACTGGGCACAGGCCGAGAGCCACCCCTCGGCTAACTGTATTTGGGGTGACATCTCAGGCATGCGGAAAGTTGGTATTTCCTTGTCCCTCCCGCGAAGCCACCAGGAATGACCAAGGAAAAGTCTTGGAGCGGTAGAAGGAGCCTTGACCCCCTCTCGGTCCTGAGTTCTCCTGGTCTTTGAACTGGGCATCCAGGAGAGCACGCTCCTTCGGAGGCCCCAGGAGCTCTGCAGTCCAATGAGACCAAGACCTAGAGGAGGGGCCAAGGCTTCTAGCTAAGTCAATAAGCAAGATGTTGAACTAGCCGCTCCTTGATACGGGGAGGTTCCAGTCCTGGGTGCTTTAAAGTGGAAGGAGATGTCTGTGATTCCTGCCTCTAAAAGGGCTGAATTGGGAACTGAGGAAGTCCTGGGATGTGAGAGGATGTTTTTTCTTGCAAGAGGGGTTGAGGGATTTGAGGAGTTGCGGAAGGAGCAAAGAAGCCTGAGTGGTACCCAGTCGGAGTCCCTGCCTTTGCAGGGCTGTCTGTCGCCTTAGCCCTTTCTTTTCTGTGCAATTCTGTTTCTTGTGCCTAAGTGAAACAATATCTTTGACAAATTAAGTCATGGTTTTATGTAAGCTATTAATTTCTATCAGACTGGCTTCTTGGAGGACAGGAACTGTGTCTGGGGCACCGTTGCCTCATCAGTTCCTGAAAGGTGCTGGGTCCCTAGTAAACAAAAATACCTAAGGATGGATACATGGGGTGGAGCCGGGTTCCTCCTGGTGGTGTGTGGTGAGCAGGCTTGCAGATAACATCGATTGGTCTCTGTCGCAGTTGCCTGAACACCTAATTCCTTTGTCCATCCCTGGACTCATGTCTCACATGAACTGTAGCTCAGGCTGGAGACAGGATTGTATGTAACATCTCTGCGCAGTATCCTGAGCCTTTACTGTTCTGTTACCTGACTAAAACTATGTAAGAAGCAAAGATCTGAACTGGAGAATTGAGACTGGAGAGGGGGGCACAGGTATCCACAAGAGCAGGAAGACACTGCCCCCCCAAAAGGCCAAGTTCAATGTGTAGACAGACTTTGCTTTGGCCTGCCAACTCACAAAAGTCTATATGGAGACTTATTATTAATTATGAAAGCTCTGCCTATAGCTTTGGCTTGTCCCACTAGCTCTAATAACTTAAATTAACCCATTTCTATTAATCTATATATTACCATGTGGCTCATGGCTTTTGCCTCTCCTCCGGCATGTCCTGCTTCCTCTCTCTCTGTTTCCTCTGGCATCTCTCCTGCACCTAGATTTATCTCATCCTTCTCCCTCCCTCTCCCCCCCATCTCTGCTTGGAAGTCCCATCTACCTCTCCTGTCTAGCTATTGGCCAGTCAGCTCTTTATTAAACCAATCAGAAGGCACCTTGGCAAAGACACATCTTCACAGTGTACAAAAAGATTATTCCATGTTTCCCCCTTTTGTCTAAATAAAAAAGACAGGTTTAAACTCCACCACAGTAAAACTATATAAAATAAGAACAATTATCAGATATTGTCTAATAAAAAGGGAAGGTTTTAACTCTACCACAGTAAAACTATATAAAATAAGAACAATTATTAGGTAAGAGTTACATTCACAAAGTCCAGTCCATTTACGTCTTGCAAATTCAGAGAAAATACTCCATTAGCTATTCTATACTGTTAGCAGTCTAGGCAAGGGCAGTTTCTTGCCCAAATGACTAATCTTGCCACAATGAAAGCAAATTCCATATGAAGGTTCTTCAAGGCCCATCATCCTTTTATTAAGTGGATTGGTGCTGCCAGAGCAGATATGCCTTACTATCATGAAAAGCCTTAGGCTACTAAACATCTTAAATGCCAGATTCTGTAGACCTTTGAAGTATTTGAAGAGCATTTATCTATGTAAATTATCTATTTAACCTTGAAAACATATCTAATGTGACTACAAGTTTGATTATTATAGATAAACTACTAACCTTATTTCTTATTTATGCATTTTTTTTTTGGTTTTTATGAGACAGGGTTTCTCTGTATTGTTTTGGAGGCTGTCAGTCCTATGCATTGCATTTTTAAATGATCTGTGTAAGCACAATAGCCCAAACAAAAGCAGAAACATATATACAGTATAACAAAAATAACCTTAAGTCTGAATCAATATACTAAGATCCATACCAATGTGAAAATTATTTGAGGTTAAGAGTTGTTTTTTTATCCTATATTCCTATGTCCACCTTAAATTATGACAAGCATCCATTACCCACTGAATGACCAAAACTAACCCACTCCGCCTCTTGGGAATGTGGGCATTGTGTCCTCTAGACTACTTCCTGTTGTTTGCAGGCAACAGCATCTTTAGGGAAACTGAGAAAATTGAGATAATGGTAAAATGATTATAATGTTTGTTGTCCAGTCTCTGTGCAATAAGTACAAGACTTATCTATAGTCCTGGCTAGAATAGTTTGTGAGTCCAGTCATCTCAGTCAGCAGCCTTGAAGCTGTTCTGGATGTAGAACTCTGAGGAAACTGCAACAGAGGCATCCTGAAATGCTAGATCACTTGGGCCACCCATTTTCACTGGTGTCTGGTCCCCTTGCTCTGAAAACAACTTTCAAAGGTAACATACATATCTGCATTAAGACAAATATGGACTGTGAGTTGAACACAAGCCAGTCAAAGATTACCTTTTTGTTTTATGTTTGAGCAAGTAAAATATATGTAACCTGTCGTGTAGTTTTTTCTAGGTTTATCTCTATATATATGTAGCCAAGATTTTCAGGGAGTCTCACCCTAGCAAACCTGATCTCTACTAACCTTGAATAAATCCATAGCCTTTCATTTCCTGTGGAAACAAAAGCATAACCTCTTCCCCAGTGCAATACATTTTCTGACTTCCATTTTAAAGTTGAAGCATTTTTAAAGTATCCAGGCTGGTTTAATTCAGCAGTCCCTCTTACAATCCCATGTCTCTCAGCAGCTGTCGTTCACTCATTAGCATTCAAAAAATTCAAAGTTAGCACAACACCATACATAATCTAGTGGTGGCACAGGCCTTTAAAGGCAGCACTTGGGAAGCAGAAGCAGGTAATCTCTGAGTTCAAGACCAGCCTGATCTACAGAGTGAGTTCCAGGATAGCCAGGGCTATACAGAGAAACCCTGTCTAAAAAATAATAGTAATAGCAATTAATAATATATAGTACAGAGGAAAATGTGCCATATGCTTTGCTATTTTACATACAGGATATATGTGTTACAGGTGTTAGTATCCATAGGGGCCCTTTAATTCCTATAGGCACTGAGGGACAGGGATGTGTCATGGAATAATCATTTTGTACACTGTGAAGATTGTCACTATGATTAGTTTAATGAAAAGCTGACCATTGCATAGCTAGACAGGATTTCCAGGCACAGAGAAGTCTTTTTTATATTACTTTACTCTTTCTTTAAAGACTTTATTATTTTAAACTATTTTTTCTATAACTGCCTATACCCTTTTTGCTTTTTCTTCTTTCTTTCTGTTTTTGTTTGTTTGTTTGTTTGTTTGTTTGTTTTTCCAGACAGGGTTTCTCTGTGTAACAGCTCTGGCTATCCTGGAACTCACTCTATAGACCAGGCTGGCCTTGAACTCACAGAGATCCACCTGCCTCTGACTCCTGAGTTCAGGGATTAAAGGTGTGGGCCACCACTGCCCAGCTTTTCTTTTCTTTCTTAAGCCTATGCACATTTTTAAGCACACTGTAACCTGTTTAGCGGTTTTTTTCTGTCTGGATTGGCTTTTACTGAGAACCTACAGCATTCTCTGACCAAATGAAACCAATTTAAACTGCCATGTCGGCTGCCGCGTGGCTCAGCTTAGCACATGACACTGGTGCATGGTGCTGGTAGCTGCCTCTAGCCCTCAGGCAGCAGCTGTATGCCGAGCACTGGCCCACCCGAGAGACTGCAGGACTAGAAAACCACCTCTGGCTCCTTGTCCAGGAATTTTTTTTAGCTTTCTCAGGCCCTGTGTTTGAATATTCAAGACCCCATGTTAGATACCATATGTAGATGGATTTTCCTTTAGGCTGCCTGCTCACAAAAAAAAAATGACACAGAGACATATTATTAATTATGAATGCTTGACCTTAGCTTAGTCTCGTTTCTTACTAGCACTTATAACTTAACCTGTTTCTCTTTGTCTACATTTTGCCTCGGGGCATTTTACTTTTCTTTCCTTCTGTATATCTTACTTTCACTGTTTCTCATGCCTGGCTTCTGACCCCGGGCATGCTCCTGTCTTTCTCCCTCATTCCCTCTGTTCCTTCTTTTCCTAGATTTCTCCTCCTATTTATTCTCTCTGCCAGCCAGCCCTGCCTATCCCCCACCCTGCCTAGCTATTGGCCCTTTAGCTCTTTATTAAAACAACCAGAAGGCACCTTAGCAAAGACACATCTTCACAGTATGAGTCACTCCACAACATCAGTGACTCTTGTAGCGCTTTCCCAGTTGCTTGGAATCTTTTCCTTCTTCCCTTTAAGATGTTGTAGTGGGGTAGGTTCTTTCTACCTTGTCCTGAGATGAATTCCTGACCCACACTGGCACTAGGTAGGCCTAAGGAGGCAGGAAGTCAGGGAGGGGACAGAGCTGAATCAGTCGTCTGTAGTAGGGCTCATGCTCACCCACGCATGACAGCACAGGTGAAGCCAGAGGAGCTGGCTGCAGGGCAACAGGGCCAGGGGTTCTCATGTGCTCCAAAGCTCTCTGGCAACTTGGCCACAGCATGGACTGAGGATGGAAAAGAGGGTGTGTTGTTTCTGAGACAGAGGTTTGTTCTACAGCCGGGCTGGGGCCTGCTCTCAGGACCTCCTGTCTTGGCCAGGCATGCTGCAGCTGATGGGGCCCTAAGCAGTAGAGTGAGTAATATAATATCACCTTGGGAAATCTGGTGCCAGCACTGAGGAGGGGAAGCCAGCAGGGACCAGCAGGGACTTCAGCCCACATTGTTGCCTTGCATCCACATCTGATTCAAACCTCATGTCTCTGAGTTATCATTCCCGGCTTATTAACCAGAGGTGATAAGGTCCACAACAATCACTTAATAATATCAGGATCCAGCCGGGCGTTGGTGGCGCACGCCTTTAATCCCAGCACTCGGGAGGCAGAGGCAGGCGGATCTCTG